CCGGCTGGGCCCCACACTTGAGGGGTCTGGACGACGCTGGCGTCAGCCCCAGGCGAGGTCAGAGCTCGGGACAGACACAGCAAGGGGGCATCGGAAAGAAGAGGGGGGCAGGAGAGCTCGGAGCCAGGCACATCCAGCCACGTGCCCCGTTTCCCTGCAGCCCATGGGATCCAGGCCACCCTGTCCCCCAGGAGATCGTGGCCGCAGGAGTTTGTGGCTGCAGAGCAGTTCCCGTGGGTGGTGGCACTGCAAGACAACCTCCTGGCCTTTGGCTCCATCCTGAACGAACACTGGATGCCCAGCACCGCAGCCAGGCTGTGGGGCAGGTCTGTACCCTGAGAGGCGCCTGCGTCGCCCCAGGCAAGGCTGGGGAAGCAGCAGGGAACACCACCACGTCCCACTGCTCAGGAGGGTCTTGTTGTTGCCCAGCAAGCTGGGTGAGCATCCCTCAGCCAGCATCAGGGCAGGCAGAGTTTGCCCCAGGTTTTTCCTTGCACCCAGTCCCCTCCATCCACCCTTTGCAGGTCGGGCATGAAGAGGTGATGGGAGGACCAGTCCCAGGATTCGATCAGCTCTGTCATCGCCCACAAGGACTTTAATGAGGTGACGCTCTACAACAACGTTGCTCTGCTCAGGACAGCCGCCCCGCCAGAGTTCAGCAGCATTGTTCAGCCCATCTGCTTACCCCACAGGAGCCTCTCTGCCTTGGACCTCGTGAACTTCTGGGTCTCAGGCTGGATCCACCCCACTGCAAGTAAGCCCCACTGCTGCAGCAAAGAGCTTCCTCCAGCAGGGCAGAGTGCCACCTTCCCACTCCCTCCTGCCAACAAGCCCAGTGGGAGGAAGGGGACCAGGGCTTGTCCTGGGAGGAAGAAGCACCCACTGGTCACCCACCAGTGACCCACCAGTTTTTTTGGAGGCCAGGGGCTGCCCAGAGCCGTAGGCTCACCGTGGTCCCCCAGCCAGGCAGGGGACAGTGCTGCAGCAGCTTCTTGAGGATGCTGTCTGTGGTGGGTGTGGATCCCTGCCCGCTGAAAAGGATCCCTGCAACCACACGCTGCAGCCCCAGGGATGCCGACGAAGTGACAGGCAGTTTGGAAAGGGACATGGAGCGCCAACCCAGCCCGGGCAGAAGTTTAGCCAAACCGCCTCCTCCCCATTCTGCTCATCTCCGACTCCCGGCTGGGAGAGCTGCCAAAACACTTGTTGGGCTTCTCTTGCTCAGTCCTTACAGGAAAAGATCCCTTCCACACAGCTTGCAGATAGCAAGCGTGGGAGACTGAACGTGTGACAGCCGTCTGTGCATGTGCTGCAGGGTAAGCATCTCCCTGCGGGTGCTGCTTCTGGTCCCCGGACCTCTCCCACTGCCAAGACCTCCAAGGGCCTTTGATGTGGCCAAGGTCAAAGATGCTTGGGAGGCAAAACCGAGAGGGGTTGCTTGTGGTACGTACCACAGGATCAGGCGCAGGGCTGGGCTGATGGGGGCACAGGCAGCCACAGGGAGCGATGCTGGTCACTTCTGGGGCACGCAGGGACATCTTCAGCCCAGAGGCAGCCAGCCCCCTGAGTCAGTGGTGCTTTGCTACCAGTGATGATAAATGACCGAACTGCTGTGATCTGCCCTCCTCTCACCCCAGCGAAGCCCACAGCCCCTGAGAGCAACGGCAGGAGGGGCACTGCTGAGAAACAACCCTGCCTTTTTTTGTCTCTCAAAAGGGTGATACCGGCAGGCCCGTCATGTGCCCGATTGGGGGGGCCTCGAGAGGACAGGACCTCCCGCATTCCCCACCCTAGTCAGGGTGCAAGCTGATCTGCAAGCTCCACCCGAAGACTGGGAAGAGGCTTCCAGACCAGCAGTGAGGATATTTTAGGAAGATGGTTTCAACCCCAAGAAGCGAAAGACAGAGCTGAACGCATCTGAGGCTGGGCCATCTGAGATGATTTATAACTCCTGCAGTGGGAAAATGGTTCCCATCTCCAAGGGACACTTACATTCGCCCCAGGTGCTTGGGAAAGGGGTAGCTGCTCCCTTCTTGCTGTTTTGTTTATTTAGGTAAATGAATATCCTTTTGCAATCAGAAATCTTGCTTGGTTCCTGCATGCCATGTTGAAATTATTTGCCCTATATGCTCACACTGCTCCGCTCTCTTCTATTGTTGGTGCACGCTCAGATATGTTGAACTGCCATGTGTCCCAGGGAGTCCCCTCTGGTTCCTGCTGCATTAGGTGATCACTAGGGCTTGCCCAGAGAGCCAGTACAGTTCCTGTGAACATGTCAGATTTGATCACCAGAGGCTAACTGCTTGCGGTGATGGAGGGAGGGGGGGGCACCCAGAGCAGAGCTGCCTGACCTAGCAGGACCTGTGGAGGGGCCAGGCAGCAGACCTTGGTGGAAGCCAGCACATGCTGGGACAGACCAAAGAGATGTCCTCACAACAGAGCCATGGGTTTCTTTATCATTTCATGCAGAAGTGGTTTCACCTTGCCGCAGCTTGCAGGGTGCTACATTTAGCCACTCGACAGCAAACTTCCCCACAGGGCTGGCTCCTTCTGCAGCTTCCACTGCCCACTTTGCAGCACCCAGCAACCCTAGTGCTGCTTACCAGACATCACGACCTGTTTCCATGCTCTGCGGTAGCTTTGCAAGGACATCTGCAAGAGGAGAAAGGAGAAGGCCTTAACATGTTCAGACAGTGATATGTTGTGGAGAAAGCTGCAAGGCTGGACTCTAGCCTGGCCTGAGCTGCTGTATGGCTTGCCCCTTCATCCCCCCCTGCTCCCACCCACCATCGGCGCTCGCTGTGGCATGCTGAGGAGAGCTCCGCAGGTGTACACCAGCTTTGGTTTCTCCCCTGAAAGCCCCAGGAAGCCTGGAGACCCCACACAACGGCCCTGTATAGAAACCTACAGCCCCTTGCATGGTAGCAGGGGTGTTGGACATGACATGCCACAGAGGGGCCAGCAAAGAAAACAGGTTTATAGCCTCACTGTTATCCCAGGGAGAACTACAGGTTCCTTCTTTAGCCCCTTAAGCCCTTGCTGTACTCCAGCTCACAGAGGCTGGCAGCACTCTGGGCACTGCTGCATAGACATCATGCAAGCCAGAGCCTGGCTCTCCTGGTCAAGGGGAGCAGCTGGGTGAGATCTGCTTGCACAAAGACAGACCCACGCGCAGGCTGCCCACCAGCTCTGAGGAAGACACAGCTGGAGCCCTATTTCTGAACTCACCACTGGTGCTGGTGGGTCAAGCCCAAATCCACGAAGCTTTGACCTCTGAGAAAGGCTGGACCGTATGAGCCCTGTCCATTGCAGACTGGGGTGCTGAGGGGCTGAGTGCGGGCCAGGCGCAATCCCAGAGCCTTCTGCTGCGCAGCAACAGCTAAGCCCAGCTCTGCTCGAGGATAAGCAGGGTGTCAGGGTGCAGGACCACACTATCCACCCTATCCAGCCCAGCCGCTTCCCTCTCCGCACTGCTCTACGCACAGATGTCCTGACTGGGGCTGGGGTGCAGACATGTCCTGCTGCCTCCAGGCTTTGACTATGCTCCTCTGTGTTATCTCTCCGTCTCCTCCCAGGCTGCAGGAGCTGGGGCAGGAGGAGAGTCAAAGATACTCTTGCAAGTTTGCCATGAACTCATGTTTGGATCTTGGTTAGCCTTTCCTTGTCAAGGAAGAGTCAAGATACAAGTGAGTAAGAAGTGTCTGAGATCATCAGAGAGGACTACGAACACTAAGGGGCCGTCAAGGGTGCTGTAAAAAGGCCGGCGCAGGTTACATATGCAGGGTCCCCTTCTCCTTACAGACACGACGGGAGTCAGTATAGCAACAGCCCGATGGTGCTTCCTGTCAATTTACAAGCTGTGTCCTTGCCTCGGCTTCCCCTCTGAGCTCAGTCATTAAAATTCAGCCTCCATCCTCCAGGTAGGGAGCAATCGCTGCTCCGTAAAAAGGAAGAGCCTCCGGCTCTGCCAGGCACCAGCGAAACCCCCACAAAAGCTCTCACAGGGCTCCTGGGGGGCCGAGAGCAAGCAGTCTGGTCCCCAGGACGGCTGCGGGTGGGCAGGCAGATGCGGCTCCATGGGGACACAGCTCCCGGCTGGCACACGTCTGGGCTCCTGCACGCCCAGCCCGGCCTCGCTCACCTCGGCAATGGCCACCTTCCTCTCCCAAGCCTTCAGGCTCTTTTCGAGGTCAGTAACAGCCATCTTCTTCCACACGTAACTCAGCACAGGGGGAACGCTGTAGTCTGAGAGTTGCTTCTGCAGCTGCCAATTCACACTCTCAGCTTCGGCTCCTTGCTGCCGGGGGG